CCTTCTCTTGCACCCGTCGAGCCTACAGCAGCCTACACCCTCCTCTCTGCGCCGCCCCTCTTCTGCAACCAAATCTCTTTGCGCTGCCCCTCTTCTGCAACCGAATCCTGCACCCTACGTTGCAGCCAACTGAGCATGATGGTAGACCAGCGTCCTTTAGGGTTTCCTTTGATTTTTGTATAAATAGGAGAAGATTGGGGAATTGAGGGGGTTCGGATTTTTCTCCTTCTGTGGTTCCTCTTCTTCTTGTCACTAAAAAGAGAGAAGCAGAGGATAGAAATCCGAAAAAAGGAGAAGGTCTTTGTTGTGTGGTTCTAGTGTTGACGGCGGAGGGGTCTCCTTTTGTTTTTCTGGTGTTGCCGGCTGAGAAAAGGAAAAGTTTTTCTGTTGAAAGTGGCTCGGTTTTTGTACCGGAGGTTGACAGAGGGCTTATTTGCTGTGTTTGCTTTTGTGTAGGTAATTTTTTTGAACAGAGAAGTTTTTCTGGGAATGGTGGTGAAGGGGACGATGGGAGCCTAGTCCCGTGGGTGGGATCCCTCCTATCAGATCTGGATCTATTTTTCCCAGAAAACTTTGCCGTGAGTGTTGATCTGTTTGTTGATTTTTCTTTGTATTTTTCATCTAATGTTTAAGGTTATATGTATTTTCTTGAGAAAAGGAATGAAAGATTATATATTTGCCTGTTTAGTTGCCTGACGAATCTGCGAATCTATGAATCTTTTGACGAATTTGTGAATCTGTGAATTTGTTCATCGTTCTGCCAAAAAATGTATTCATGATGAACCCTAATTTTGGCTAAGTTGTTTGCATGTTTGATCTTTTTTTTTGGGTTATTTGATGTTCGGTTGTGTTTTTCTTTTCTTCGGTTCCGATTCAGTAAAAAAAAAAATACATAATATAAATAAAAAGAATTAGTTAATTAAGATAATTGACTTGATTTATGATTAGTAATATTAATTAATTTTAATTAAAATAAATTAATCATATTTATTCATTTTAATTTAAGATAATTATATTACCTTGATTAAAGATTGATAATGTGATTAATTAATTTTAATTAATGTTAAATTAATTATTTAATTAAGTTAATTATTGAATTAATTAATTTAAATCTTTAATTTTTTGTTAATTATCTTTTCTCATTTTAATTTTAACCAAAGTGTTTTTGTAATTAAGCAATTTAGTCAACATGTTTCAACTCTTTTCAAATCAATTCTTCATGTTTTGAATCTTAATCAAATCAGTCCTTCATGTTTCGAATTTAATCAAATTAATTCCTTTACTTTTTATTTCGTGCTTATTGTGCATGCATGTTCTTTACTTTATCTATTCTTGTCCAAGAGTTTAAAAGATGTGACAATTTGGTCCATTTGTTTTTCAAACTTCTTTTTAAGACTTAAGTAAATAGGTAATGAATAAGTTGAATTAAAACCCCCAACGTTAAAGTATGCAACTGTGTTTAATCGGAGGATTGTGAGGTGCGCGTATGCCCTTCCTCAGTTCTAACCGCATCCCCGAACCCCGATCTCTACACAGACTTATTTTAGGTGACTTGTCCCACCTTATAATTTGGATGAGTGGCGACTCCCTTTTCTTTTTATATTTTCACACTTAATCCCATTTTAAGTGGTCGTCAACAAATTGGCGACTCCACTGGGGAGCGAACCCATAATCTTTGGTTTCCATATTCTGGGTTCACGAGGGTCAAGTTAATACTTTAACTTTGGGGAATTTTCAACTTTTGATTTTTTTTGTTTGTTGAGTCTTTGTTGGTCTTTGTCTTTGTTGTTTGTTGCTTGTTGCTTGTTTGCTCATTGTTTTAGTGGTTGCTTTGATTGTTTTGCCTTTGAGTAGTTATCTTGCTACATCTTGACGTGCATCATACCTTGCTAACATGTTCATGCATCATTGATATTATATGCTCATTCATCATGCATCATGCTTACATGCCTATTTTCTTATGTGTGGATATACTCACCTTTTGCACTTGGCTATGGAGTACTCAGTGAGTCTCTTCCCTCTTGTGCGATTATTTACATCTTTTTGCATGCTAAGTGTTGGTTGCTTTGTGTTACTAACCTTTTGCATTTGGCATGGGAGTACTAGGTGAGTCCCTTCCTGCTGTGTAAGTAGGTTTGTTTGTGGGTGATATATTTGTTGAGTGTTTTATATGCTTTATTTGATTGCCGTGGGATATATGTTGCTATTTTTGTGGTTGCCATTATGCAGGTTATTAAAGTGTCATGCCCTTTGCACACACTCACTCTCATTTTGCATTAGGTCCGTGTCGGAGGTGAATCCGACCTCTAGTCTGGAATCCTTATGAATCTGACTTGGAAGAGCAATTCTTCCCGCTTTGAGGAGTAAGATCGGTTCCCGTTAGGTTGTTTCCATTGGTTAATACGACACTTGATGATGTAATATCATTCTGTGTATTAGCTTTTGGAAATATCTCCTGTTAATTCCAAAAGGATAAATGGTTGAGAAGGCCTAATGCCCTTTAGGAAAACATATAGTGGCCTTAGAGAGATACCAACCCTAGGATATGTTTCCCTTAACATCCTACCCGTGAGGTTAGGAATCCCGTGTCTAAGACACAAAGGGGCATTTTACTTCACTAACCTTTGTTTGCGCATATGGCAGCTTATTTTTGTACATTTAATGAGGTATGGCATGTGAGGGTATGATTTATGTCTAACTTCTTTAAGCCTTTTGTTTAGGTTAGATCATGCATTAGACATGGATTTTACCGAGGATACAACTAGACAAGGGAAGAGACTTGGTGAAGATGTCACATCCCATTCTACTGCTAAGAGAGCTAAGGAGTCAATCTTTTCAGTCAATACCTCCAAGCTCGACTTGAAGTTGTTGAAAGAGGCTTACGGTTTGTTGTCTTCAAGGGAGAAGCATGACTTTGAGGTCCGATTTGGGTGCATTGGAGATCTATTGTCAGTGATGCCAAATTGGAACTTGTTTAGAGCCATGTTGAAATTTTTTGTGCCAGAATATCAAGCTTTTGTGTTCCCACAATTTGAGTTGGTGCTCACCATTGATGAGTATCATCACTTCCTACGGTGTAGTCCTGCGGCGGATTCTCCTAACTTCACTCCTTAAGTACAACATATGAAGTTCACACTAGAAAAAGTTCAAGAAATGTTGCAAGCTATATGGGGGTTTTCATTCGAATTCTCGCGACCATTGGTGACAACTAGAGATGGTTCTTATGGGTTTGATTGGAATGCAGCATTGATGGCTTTGGGAAAGAGATTGGAAGCCATGACACCTTCTCAAAGGATCAGCTTTGTGGCATTGGGAATTTATGGCATGGTGATCTTCCCTATCTATGTCAAGACCATTGCACCTACGGTGATAGCTTTGTTTGAGCAATTGTTGCACACTTCGACATTTAATCCTGCTTTTACGGTGGTAGCCGAAACTTTGTGGTCTATGAAAGAAATCTGGGCTAAAGGATTCGGTCGCTTCTTGGGTTGCATCGAGTTGTTCACTACATGGGCACAAGGTCACTTGAAGGGTCCCCAATTTGAAGCTTTATTCAGCGTTCCTATGAAGGATAGAAAGACAGAGGATTGGCATCGATCACTTCTAGCAACAACTGTTAATGATGTCAAATTTGTTCTCCCGACTTGGAGTGCTACTCATTATCTCGCTCCACCCAAAGGACATCACTCTATTCCTTTGTTGGGTATTCATGGAGGGGTTACATATTCTGTGGAGTTGGCATCCCGTCAGTTTGGAAAGGCACAAAACGCTCCCTATCTTGAGGATGCATTACAGTCACACTTTGATTACATGTCTTCCCCGGTGATTGTTAACAAGGTATCCGAGGCACATAAGATGTGGGAGAGATGTAGGATGCTACCCATATGGAAAGGGAAGGGGACTAGATCACAATATGAGCAATGGAGGTCGAGTTGGATAGCTAAGCTCTCTTTGCCATGCAAGGTGACAAATATGAAAAACTCTACCATCAGGGACTTAACTGCTAAGTTGGAGCTTAGCCATGCTCAAAGATGTCAGCTATTAGAGAAGTATGATGAATTAGCTCTTGATTATGAGTTGCTTAAAAGGGGAAAAGAGTTGTCAAATCAGCAAGTGGTGGAGTTGAAGGACAAGATTGCCTCAATGGAAAAGGACTTGACTGCTAGTAAAGAAATTTGTGGAAAGCAAAGGAGGAGCTTGAACTTTGCTGAAGAACAAAAGAAAAGGCTGCTACAAGTAAAGGCGGATCTTAAAGCAAGAGAAAAGGAGAACAAGGAGCTTATTGAGAAGGTGACTAGGCAGCAAGAGTTGAAAGGAAAAGTGATTAAGTGGAGGAATGCTTACAACAACCTATTGTCTGATTACAATACTCTACAAAAGGAATTGCAAGCAGCAAAGCAATCAAAGCAAGGAAAGAAGGAGAACACAACTTGAAGAACTTGGGGAAGATGGGTTACTTAGGAGCTTTTGTACGAATGTTAGAAATTCAGATCTATTAATGAAAACTTGCTTGAATGAATACAATCTTTCTTCCTTGTCAAAAGTATATCCAATGAAGTAAAATCCATGATTAGGATAAAATTTTAATTTTCAAGTCTCATATCACATATACATTCCTATTCAATTACACTTATCATTAGCTATAATCTTTGGTCATCCTCTTATTGATATCTTTATTTGGTCATTTTTGTTTAGTTCTCAAGCCCCTTTGTTTGGACCATCTATGACCTTTGAAAAGAAATATGGATTCTCACACATCCAAGGCACAAGCTTCTTCACCCAAGACTTTGTGGGAGTTCTCTGCTCGTACTCAAAGGCTCAATCAAGAAACCATCTCCTATTTGCATCAGTTGACAAAGGACAATGAACACCTTCGCACAGCCAATGAGCAATTGGAAGAGCAACTACAAGACATGACTATCAACCGTAATCTTTACAAGATTGCCATGGAGGACATGTGCTATCAACACCAAGTCGAGAAGCAAAAGAACCAAGCCCTTCTTGAAGAGGACATCGGCTTGCGTGAAATTATCATTGACATAGCCGCCATGGTGTCCCAATTCGAGGGAAGGATGGCAGAGACTCATCACCACATCACTCAAAGGAGCCATCCGATTGAGAGGGGATTCTTCCAACCAGTCTTCGACTTTATCTTTGACATGTCCAATATGCTCAGAAGGCTGTATTAGAATTCATGTTCTGTAATGAGTAGGTTTTAGCTTTAAAAGAATGAAAGTTTGTAAGCACTTTGAATGCAACTTTGTAATGCTTGCCCATTTTGTCTAAAGTGCATTCCTTAGTTAGTTTTGTCCTAGCTTTCAAAGAATGAAGGTTTGTAAGCACTTTGAATGCAACTTTGTAATGCTTGCTAATCTTGTTTCAAGTGCGGTAATTTAGTAATGAAAAGCCATGTTTCAGCACAACTCATTATAAAATAGGCGGATATCTTCAAGATGGAAACGCTGATGTGAGAATCCATATGGAAATTCAAAAAGGAAATTAATGGTCCAATCAAAAGGGGCTAAAGTCTCTTTAGTTTTCTAACTTTGTTCCTTTTATTTTTACATTTTTGTGTAGGTAAAATTCTTCTAATCATAGCTCCACGGCGAAAGGTCTCCAAAAGGCGACGTTCTCCATATTTGCTCAGATCTAGAGTAATCAAAATGTTGGAAGAAAACATTGCTGTTAATCCAGAGAAATTAGCCGTGGATGAGAGGGTTGATAAGTTGGAAGCCACAATGCAAACTCTGGCTGCTACCCTAAAGGCCATTAGTCTCACTTTGTCCACTTTGACTACCAGTTCGGCTCCTTCACTTGCATCCTTAATACCCACAATACCAGTTCCACCTGTCCCTACCATTACACCAGGTAGTCGTGCTAAAGATCCCATGGTCACACAATTGCAATTTCCACCCATTTCTGAGAATCAACCTCTAATGGGGGAGTCATCTTCACATGCTCCACAAATATCATCTCTACCCTTTGAAACCTCATACCCACCACTTGAGATGAACAATCCTACCCTTAATGTACCACCTTTGATGGGACAAGCGACAGCTATTCAACCCAACCCTTTGGTTGAGATATTGAGGCCTACTTTGGAGGATGGGAAGTTAAGAGAAGTCGATCACAAGTTACAACAGTTGGAGGAGGCTCTGAAAGCTATGCAAGGGCCACAAGCTTATGGTTCCATTGATTTGGATGATCTCTGCTACTATCCGGGAATCCAAACAAATTTCAAGTTTAAGTAGCCGGATTTTGACAAGTATGATGGCTCAGGTTGTCCTTATGCCCATCTGAAGATGTATGCCAGGAAAATGGCACCTTATGCTAATGATGAAAGGGTACTCATTCATTACTTTCGTCAGGCCTAGCAAGTATCTAGTTCTCTACTCTTAACAAGAAGAAGATTCGCACTTTCAAGGATGTGTCTCAAGCTTTCATGAGGCAGTATGAATACAATATGAGTTTGGCCCCAACAAGGGATAGCTTGCAAAGAATCACCAAGAAAGGTAATGAGACTTTCAAAGAATTTGCTCAACAATGGAGATCTGAAGCAGCCAAAGTCATTCCACCCCTTGCCGATAGTGAAATCTGCTTTCTCTTTATCAAGTCAACTACCAAGACTTTCCATGCATGGTTAGCTCCTTGTGTGGGATATACTTTTGCTCAGTTAGTGATAGCGGGTGAACAAATTGAAGATGGATTGAAGACAAGTATTATTACAGACTTTCAAACCATTAAGAGGCAATTAGAGCAAGTCAAGACCGGTAACGCCGAATCTACTTCAAGGAAGTTTACACCCAAAGGGAAGAAAGAAGATGATGAGGCTCTAAGTCATATTTTCATCAGCCATGCCAAGCCAATTTATAATGTGGCAAATGTTCCTTATAATCGGCAGCCCCAATTGCAGTTCACTCCAACCTTTAAGCCTACCACTTATCCTCAAAGGAGGCCAAACTTTAATACTCAAGCTCCTGTTAGACAACAATTCCCACTTACAAATAGACCAAGGCAGTTCACTAGACTTCCAATCCCTTACAGTGAGGTGTTGAAACAATTACTTGGAGTAGGTTTAATGAAGACAGTGCAAGCGGCCCCTATTCGACCACCTTATCCAGACTGGTATGATCAGCAAGTCAGATGTGAATATCACAATGTGGTGGGTCATGATACCAAATATTGTACAACTTTGAAACATAGGGTCCAAGATCTCATTGATGAGGGTAAACTTCAACTCGATACTAAGGAAACCAAGGGTGCTCCAAACATCACTCAGAATCCTTTACCTCCACATGGTGCACCCACCATGAACATGGTTGCCTTTGATGAAGTTGATAGGCCTGTGTTGGAGAATGCCAATTCTTGGTCTTTTGATGAATTGTTTGCCATTTTAATAGAACATGATCTTATTCAGACAATTGCATTAGTGAGCTCAGATGTTCCACTTGTGACAATAGATGATGCTTTAGTGTGTCTGTATCACTGCAATATGAAAGGGCATACTTTGCAAAATTGTGGAGATTTTCAAAGAAAAATTATGGAGCTACAAAGAATGGGATCTTTGAAGTTCATGTCTGCTCCAGAGTCAGAGAAATTCATAGCATCCGTGACGGAAGAATACTTCACTAAGGAGAAGCCTTACATTTTGCAAGATACTACAAAAGCGCAAGTTATCAGTCAGCCCTATGTCTTGAAGACCTCTCTTAGTGAGTTACTCATGGGAAAGACATCGTCTGTGGCTAGGCCTCAACGCTCTACCATCTTGAATTCCACAGCTAATGATGTGTCTAATATGACCCGCAGTGGTCAATGCTATGTGAGTCCTAAAGTGGAAGAATCGAGAAGGACTGCCTTGAAGTCAAAAGGCATCAGAATTGAAGAGATACTAGAAGAATCACCCAAGAAGCTAGTGTCAAAAAATGAAGTTGCAGAATTTCTAAATATTTTAGGAAGAGTGAGTATAGCATCATTGAACAACTCAACAAGACCCCTGCAAAAATTTCTATTTTAGAATTGATGCTGTCATCTGAGGTCCATCTTGATGCATTGCTCAAAGTCTTGAAAGAGGCCCATGTGCCTAAGAACATTGATACTCAAAAGTTTGGGACTATGGTTGGGGCAATTTTAGCTCCAAATTACATTAATTTCACAGATGATGAGATCCTTGATGAAGGAAATGGGCATACCAAGGCTCTTCATATTTCAGTCCAATGTAAGATGATGAATGTGCCTCATGTGTTGATCGACAATGGGTTAGCTTTGAATGTGATTCCTATGACTGTTTTGAAGCAGTTGAAAGTGGATGAGTCTCACATTAATCGGTGCAATATAGTGGTTCATGCTTTTGATGGAACAAAGAGGAATGTGATTGGAAAGATTGAGCTTCCAATGGAAATTGGCCCTGTGACTTTTGATGTGGATTTCTTTGTTATGGATATTTCTCCCGCTTTTAATATGCTTCTTGGGAGGCCTTGGATACATGTCGCCGGAGCAGTACCGTCCACTTTGCATCAAAAGGTCAAATACATTGTCAATGGTGTTCTTGTCACGGTAAATGGTGATGAGGAACACATCATCCGAAAGGCTACAACCATTCCTTACTTGGGAGTTGATCCTGGAACTTATGAGTCCTCTTATCACTCAATGGAGTGTGCTACTACTTCTTATATACATTCAAAGTTCAGAGGAAAATGAGCTGAAATGGCTAAACCAGCCAGGGTTGTTGCTAAGATCATGCTTGCATGTCACTACCAGTTAGGAAAGGGTTTGGGATTGAATGGACAAGGAATTCTCGAGCCTATTGAGGTAATTCAAGCTGGGGGCACTTTTGGTTTGGGATACAAGCCGAAGAAGGAAGATTGGCAGAGAATGCGTGCTATTAAAGCAGAGAAGCGCTTTGCTAGACTTCAAGGGAGAGATCCTAGGGATGAACCAGTGTGGGTGCCACACATTAGAGTCACATTTCCACGACCTGTTGAGATTTTGTGCCCTTCTTTTGATGGATATATGGTGAAGCACATGAGTGTTTTATATGTAGATCCAGAAGGTACTATTTTCACTGATAGATTGCTTGAAATTGGGGAATGTTCAAAATAAGCAAAGTATGAGGAAGCAGTTGTGGAAGACATCACAGATGAAGTTTGTTCTGATGATGAGGAAGACGGTTTTGGTTTCAACAACCTCTTTGAGCCAGCCAAAATGACAGATCCGAAGGAGAGGTGGAGAAGGATGCTCTTTGAAAGGGCATTTATGGAGAAGCACCCCAACTTCCATCTTGTACAAGCTTCAATGGGAACACATGAGTCTGTGCTACTTGAAATAGTGAAAGAAGAATCATTATGTGACTCATGGGGAAATTTGACTATAAATGCTCTAGATGAGGAAAAACTTGAATTTGATAGGGGAATTTCTCTAGTTAATGGAAACTCTCAGGTTAATTGGACAGCGGAACTTTTCCCTGCAGCTTTCATCTCCGAGTAAGAAGAGTCAGCCTCTAGTAGTTCTGCTTGTGACTACATGAAGGGAGGGATTCAACAAGCACTTTTATATTTTCTGAAATTTATGTTATCATGCTTCTAGTATTCCCATGCTTTCCTTTTCAATGAAACACGTTGCAATCTTACCTATCATTGTAAAAATCATCATGATGCAACTTTAGTTGAACTTTCATTGTACAAGCTACTTTTTAATGATATATTTTATGGGGTTATCTAGTAACATGTTCCTATCTTTTCTTTATTATCATTTGGCCATTTATTTACTTTCATCCCAAATTTTCAGGCCTGCTAATGATGAATCTTTAAACAATGATGCCATGTCAGACTTTATATATGAGATTGATGATTAGACCTATAAAGAAGAAGACAATGAAAATCTCAATCCTTCTCATGAATTAACTCAAATGCTAAGAGAGGAAAAACCGAAGCTGCAACCAAATCAAGAGACAAAAACCATTAATCTGGGTACTGAAGATGACAGAAAGGAGATAAAAATCAATGCTCATCTATCCTCAAAGGAAAGAAAAGAGTTGATGGAGCTCTTATTTGGGTTCCAAGATGTTTTTGCTTGGTCCTAGAAGGACATGCCGGGACTTGATCCTGACATCACTATTCATGCCATTCCACTCTATTATGAGGCTAAGCTAGTTAAGCAAAAGCTAAGGAGGATGAAACCAGAGGTTTTGTTGAAAGTCAAAGAAGAAGTACAAAAGCTGCTAGATGTCAATTTCATTGAAGTAGCTATGTATCCGGAATGGGTGGCCAACATCGTTCCTGTAATGAAAAAGGATGGCCGGGTTAGAGTCTGTGTGGATTATAGAGACTTGAACAAAGCAAGCCCCAAGGATGATTTCCCATTGCCTCACATCCAAATTATGCTAGATAATGCTGCCAAAAATACTCGGTTCTTTTTTGTTGATGGCTACTTTGGGTACAATCAGATAAGGATGAAGGAGGAGGACAAGCTCAAGACTACATTCATCACTCAATGGGGTACCTTTTGCTACAAAGTTATGCCTTTTGGACTCAAAAATGCCGGGGCAACATACCAACGCTTTGTGATTGCTTTATTACATGACTTTGTGCATACCATTGTTGAGCTATATGTTGATGACATGGTGATTATGTCCAAAGAAGAGGTGCTACATACAGAAAATCTCAAGAAGGTGTTTGAACGCCTTAGAAAATACCAACTGAGACTCAATCCTACCAAATGTACTTTTGATGTGGATTTCGGAAAGCTACTTGGCTTCATTGTGAGCTGCCGAGGAATAGAGATTGATCCAGCCAAAATAAAAGCCATCGATGAAATGCCACCACCAAAAACCCAAAAGGAAGTCTGAGGTTTCTTGGGAAGAATTAATTACATTGCCCGTTTCATTGCCAACCTCACCACCATTTGTGAGCCTATCTTCAAACTCCTCAAAAAAGACAACCCTCACACCTGGAATGACCAATGCCAACAAGCCTTTGACAAAATCAAAGAATACCTCAAAAACCCACAAATCCTTGTGCCACCAACTGACAAAAGGCCTTTCATCCTATATATCACTGTCCTTGAAAAATCCATGGGAGCAGTCCTTGTCCAACATGATGACTCAGGAAAGAAAGAAAGGGCCATCTATTATGTGAGTAAGAAGTTCAATGATTGTGAAAGTAAATACTCACCCTTAGAAAAGACTTGCTGTGCCTTAGCCTGGACATCCAAGAAACTTCGCCACTACATGTTAACCAACACCACTTACCTACTTTCAAGAATGGATCCCATAAAATTCATTTTTGAAAAACCTACCCTTTCTGGAAGAATCTCTCGATGGCATATGTTGCTTTCTAAATTTGATATTGTTTACACAACACAAAAGGCCATCAAAGGGCAAGCAATTGCAGATCATTTGGCCGAACATGCGACAGAGGATTATGAGCCTATTGATTGGGATTTTCCTGATGAGGACATTTTGGCATTGGAGGCAGAATCTGATTCAGATAATTGGAAGCTCTTCTTTGATGGAGCTGTTAACCAGCTTGGTTGTGGCCTTGGAGCCCTGTTGGTATCCCCAAAGGGAGATCATTTTCTTATCGCTATAAAGCTTGATTTTGCTTGTACCAACAACATAGCCGAATACGAAGCTTGTATTGCAGGAATACATGCTGCTCTGGATATGAATGTCCGAGATTTGGAGATATATGGTGATTCAGCACTGATCATATGTCAAACAAATGGCGATTGGCAAACCAAAGATCCAAAACTTATTCCCTATCACCAATACCTTGAAACTCTCATCAAGAAATTCAGATTCATCTCTTTAAACCATATGCCCCGTGCCAAGAATCAGTTTGCAGATGCTTTGGCAACTTTAGCCTCCATGATCCAAATCTCCAGTGATGATGTAATCAAGCCTTTGATGATTGAAATTAGTCAAGAACTGGCACATTGCATGGAAATCAAGGTTGATGACAACCATGGTTTCATGATATTAAACAATTCTTGCAAAATGGGGAACACCCTTTATATGCTCCTGAGGTGAATAAGAAGATAATCAGAAAATTGGTAGCTTCATACTTCTTGAGCGAAAATACATTGTATAAGCGCTCTACTGATATGACCTTGTTGAGGTGTGTTGATGAAACAGAAGCAAAACAAGTCATGATTGAGGTCCATGAAGGGATATGTGGAACGCATGCAAATGGAAGAATGCTTGCTAGAAAAATTCTTCGGGCTGGCTATTATTGGTTGACTATGGAACATGATTGCATCAAATATGCACGAGCTTGTCACAAATGTCAAATCTATGTTGATCATATTAATGCTCCGCCTTCATTATTGCATAATATGTCCGCTCCTTGGCCATTCTCCATGTGGGGCATTGATGTGATTAGGGCAATTAATCCTAAAGCTTCCAATGGTCATCAATTCATCTTGGTTGCTATTGATTATTTTACCAAATGGATAGAAGCAGCATCTTATGCTAGTGTTACAAAGAAGGTGATCACTCGCTTCATCAAAAGAGAGATCATCTGTAGATATGGGCAACCAGAGGCCATCATTACTGATAATGCAAGCAATTTGAACAATGATATGATGACTGCACTATGCAAGCAATTCAAGATCAAGCATTTGAACTCTTCTCCATACCGACCAAAGATGAATGGTGCGGTGGAAGCTGCCAACAATAATATTAAGAAGATTCTAGCTAAAATGGCAGTCACTTACAAAGATTGGCATGAAATGTTGCCATATGCTCTCCATGCTTATAGAACCTCTGTTCGCACTTCAACTGGGCAACACCTTATTCCTTGGTATATGGAATGGAGGCAGTATTACCAATTGAGCTAGAAATCCCTTCTATGAGAATCTTATCCGAGTCAGGGATTGATGAAGAAGACTTGATTCAGAAAAGGATAGATTATCTCAATTTGCTTGATGAAAAAAGATTGGCAGCTCTTTGTCATGGCCAATGCTATCAGCGACAAATGGCAGCAGCTTACAACAAGAAAGTCAAACCTAGAATATTTCATCAAGGAGATCTCATCTTAAGAAAGATCATGCCAAATGAAAGGGACCCTAGGGGCAAATTCGCACCAAATTATGAAGGGCCTTATGTTGTTAAAGAAGCTTTCTCCGGAGGAGCACTCTTATTGAGATATCCAGATGGAACTGATTATCATCACCCGGTGAATACCGATGTTGTCAAAATGTACTATTGCTAAAAACAAAAAATTTAGGTTGAAAGCCCGAAAGGGCGGCCTAACAAATTAAATGTTTCCTTGACTTGGAAAGTTGAAAATCCAATGATGAAAGGCCTTGTTTCTCTACCCTAAATAGTTGAACATTACCCTTTTGCTTACCCCTTTCGAGCCAAAAAAGGCAATCATTCAAATTTACAAAAGCCAGAATGATTTTCTTTCTATTAACCCACATTAATGACCGGGGAAGTGAAGAGAGAGATGTGAGGGGAACATATGGATTTTGAGCCTTTATCCTTTCTTCCATTGTAACCTAACCCCAAGCCACGTTACAAGCCCGCATGAAAGTCCTTATCTGAGGGTTTAAAGCTTTCTTTGTCAAGGGACACAAAAAAAAAAAAAAAGAAGAAGACAGCAAGGCTCTAGGCAATGGCAGTGGTAAACTTCCTTATTCTGAGCAGGAGAGTTAGTTCATGGAAAGGGGAAAGATTTGAAGTGTCAACATTCAGAAAAGGAATGAAATTCTCTCTCATGGACTAAAGGACTGAGGGCCAGAGTTGCAAAGAAAAGGTGATCTGAAGCAATGGTTTATGGTCTGCATATCTTGTAATCAATTGCATCAAATCTTGTATCATTAGCCAGACTTCCTTTTGTCCTTGTTTGAAGTGGACCTTTCAATCATCCTAACCTTGCTTGAATTTAATGAAATAAATCTTTGCTATCGTTTTGTTCGCATTCTACTCTAGCCTTGCCTTTTTATTTAGTATTGGGAATGCTAGTTAAACATGAGACTATATTTCAGTTAATATAATTGCTTATCGAATCAAAATCTCTTGATGAATTTGAAAGGTTGGATGAGAATTACAGGGAGAAAAGAAGCTAAATTCGATAGCCAAGGAGTCATCCATGCTAGTTGAAGCTCCAATAGCAAATGAAGGTTCAACTTACTGGGGCAATATTTTCAAATATCTCTTCATGGGAAACAAATGAGATTCTACCTCTTGTGTTCAATAGACTATACATGAATGTGAATCTACTAAGCTGCTACAAAGAGGTGATGACAAGTTGACGAATGCGCATCATAAAGCACATTTAACTCTCGTCAAATATGGGCATCCAATATGTTTAGGGAAGTTTCTTTTCATTTTCATCTTATCTTATGTATGAATATCATTTCACTTGCATTAGTTTCATTGTCATTAGACTTTTCAGACATCACTTCCCCTATTTGATCATTCGATCGTTGCTCGTTTGGTTATCTGATCGCTACCCCTTCAGTCATTCGACCGTTACCTGCTCGATCATTCGATCGTTACTTGTTCGGTCATCCGATCGTTACTCGTTCGGTCAATCCGATCGTTACTCGTTCGGTCAATCCGATCGTTACCCCCTCAGTCATTCGACTGTTACCTGCTCGATCATTCGATTGCTATTCGTTCGGTTATCCGATCGCTACCCCTCGGTCATTCGACCGTTATCTACTCGATTATTCGATCGTTACTCGTTCGGTCATCCGATCGTTACTCGTTCGGTCATCCGATCGTTACCCCTCGGTCATTTGACCGTTATCTACTCGATCACTCGATCGCTACTCGGTTATTTAACCGTTATTGCTCAAGCCTGCTCGGTCGTTTGACCGTAGCTATCCATCTTGCTCGGTCGTTTGACCGTAGCTACTAACGTGCTCGATCATTTGATCGTTACTTGTTCGATTACTCGATTGCTACTCGTTCGGTTATCCGATCGCTACCCCTTCGGTCATTCGACCATTACCTGCTCGATCATTCGATCGTTACCCACCACTATCTACTCGATCATTTGATCGTTACTCGTTCGGTTAATCTAATTATTGTCCCCTCGGTCATTCGACCGCTACCTATTCGATCATTCAATCGTTACTCGTTCGGTTAATCTGATTGTTGCGGTTTCTTAACCGTTTTTATTTTTCTCGTTCGATTAATCCGATCATTGCGGTTTTCTAACCGTCTTCTCTCATTCGTTCGGTCAATCCAATCGTTGCGATTTTTTAGTTATTTTATCTCATTCGTTCGGTTAATCCGATCATTGCGGCTTTTTAGTCGTTTTCTCTCACTCGTTCGGTTAATCCGATCGTTGCGGTTTTCTAACCATCTTCTCTCATTCGTTCGGTCAATCCGATCGTTGCGGTTTTCTAACCATCTTCTCTCATTCGTTCGGT